AACCAGTACAGAATGAAGGAAAAAAATTCTTGATCACTTACAGGACCTACCTTCTTGTTCTCAATTTTTACAAAATCACTGAAGGAAGAGTTCAAGGGTGGGATAGCGAAGTTGACCGGAGTGTCTGGGTAACTAGGTAAAAATGGAGCACCAAGTGGTGAAAGCCCTAAGAGATGGAAAATATCAAGAACGGTGGGGGCCATTATACCACACCGAAACTGGAAAAAAAAAAAGCCAAATTCCAGAAATAAAGAGCTGCGGGAATCAAAAAAGGATCCTCAGGAATAATGAACCTGGAAAGACGAAGGGCATCAATGATACAGAGCTCTTGTAGATCCAACTCTTTGGCTGGCATACCTCTGTCATACCATTCCTCCCATTCAATCCTCAATGTGGGCCAGTAACGGTGGGGACGGTTTAACCTCCAGCTTCCCCAATCAAACCTTCCTTCATAGAGCAGGCAGTGATCCTCTAGATGAAGATACAAAGCAAGAAGCTGAGCTGGGGCTTCTTTAAAGATGGGTCCCAAGACGTATTCATGTTGTTCATTATGACAAGGAATAAAGAGGTGACCATCTATGGCACTCGGTTCACCAATTCTGAGCTTGGATATCTCCTCGTCGATATACCTCTTTAAAGCCAATGATAGACTCACGCGCTCCATAACTGGTATTTTTAGGAACGAAGAAGCCATTAGCAAGAGTTTTTGGAGGATGAAGCTAAGAAAAGAGTAAAGAGGAGGAGAGAGTAGTAGATATGAAAGGGTTTGTGTTTTCGACAAATGAGTAAGATAAAAGCGTGAAGGGAGAGGGTTTTTAAACCTTTCTGTCTAAAAGTTACCCGAACAAGTTGAATGGGTGAGGTGGATCCAAAATGATTATTTTATTGTTTGGGTCCATGTGAAATTAAAACTCTTATTTTAAAATATGGATGGGTCCCAAATTTAAAATGAAGAGAGTTTTTGAACGGAAACATATGTTGAGTATCCAGCTTGGCAAAGTGTAGTTGGCTTCGAAGTCTCTATAGGTCTTTAAAATAAGAGGCTGGCTTCAAAGCCTGATCGTCAAATGGTTTCAGGAGCAAGCAATTGACTTCAAAACAAGAATCATGTCCCAAATTCAGGAGTAATTGGGATTAATTTGGTTTGAAAGACTTAAAAGCATGCTTTTAGGTTTTCAATGAAGGATGAAGTCCTTCGAAGGAGCTTTTTGTAAGAACATGGTTCATGCTTGATATTTTGAACTTTAAGATAAACAAACATTACAAAACCAGTATTTGGTCAAGTAGTGAAGAAACCCAAAGGGGCTCACTCTTTAAGAAGTAGGCAATATAATTCCTGAGGGAAGTTTCCATACTTCGAAGCATGTAGACTGTTCTTCGAAGCAAAAATGTTTAAATTCGAGGCAGATTGGTTATGCAAATTATGTTAATTATGTAATTGGAATGTGAAGTTTAGGACAAAAGTTGTCTTCCTTAAGAAAAAATTTCGTTTCCACACTTTGAGAGTGAGATTGATTGATTCGAAGTTTTTTGTGAACATAGTAAGAAGCAAGGTCACATCAATCATACAACTAAGCATAGAATTGGAATATAAAATCAGATCATGCCAAATAAAAAAAGAAAAACCTAACTTTATTGATATGTGAATAATTACATTATAAAGCCTTCTTGGTTACAAATTCAACCTCATAAAATAAGGAATAGAAAGAATAACAAGGTCATGAAATTTGTCCTAACAGTAGTCAATGAATTTATGTTCCTTCTTTATTCTATCTTCTGTCCTATCCAAGCTGGGTTGCTGTAGCTAATATGTTCTTATTTGATGGAAAAACTATTCAGCTTTCATTTCGAACTCTATCTCCTTTAATCCTTGTTCCATTTTGTCCATCTCTAGATCATCCCAGTATGTAGAATCCTTATTCTTAAAGTCATTATATTCGTTAATAAGATTCTCTGCCTTGTACTAGGTTTGAATTCGTTTGGTTGAGATTTTGTCCAAAGAATTAGTGGTAGCCAAAGAAATTTGATACCAATGGGGAAGAAGCGGGAGTTGATCCAAAAAAGCCTGAAGCTCTGCTTGAGCAATGGGGTTGAGAACATGACCCCGAGTCATAATGTCATAGGCCCATCGATAGTTTTTGAGAGGAGTCTCATCTCCAAGAACATTGAAAGGCAAGTGAGAAAAGGCTGCAAGCAGAAGTTGAGCTTGGTATCGTTCAAATATAGTTAGAAAATTTGGAGTTTGGTAGGAAGGAAGAAACTAATTCTCGAAGAGAGTAAGTTTTAGTTCCTTCATCCAGTAAGGATTTTGAGGAAGAGACGGCACATGAGGGTCCATCCTAAAGGAAGAGGGGAACTGGGGATTATTCACACATTCAAGCCAGTCAGAAGAGCAAAATTTTGCCTTCTTGGCCAAGAATGACAGATTGTATCCTTGTGCTTCCTCCGGACGAGGAGTTGCTCGCACTATCTTCGTGGGCATAGAAGATGTGTACCAAGCCACAAGTAAGTTATCCTCCAGACTGCGTCGGTGATCAATGGGTACATAGGGGTAAACCACTGAGCTCCGAGCAGAAGGAGAAATAGACAGAGGATCAGCAAATTCGACGAATCGATAGTGAATTCGCTCTCTTAGTTTGGATTCATCTGGTTTTGGCCAACTTCCCCATCCAGTAGACCTAGAGGAAGAAGGAGCAGCTGTGTCCCATGCAGAATGTGGTGGGGCAGAGAAAGAAGCAGTTGTGTCCCATGCAGAGGATGGTGAGACAGAAGAAAAGTTTCAAAGATCCGTTTTTGCAAATGCTTGATCTAAGGGTTTGTAGTTGGCAAACTTTGGGTCTAAAGGTTGGTACGTTGCAAAAGCTTCCATAACTTGCATAAATGGAGGCAGATTGGCGTAATTAATAAATATATTGAGATTCTTTTGAGGCCTATAATCATCTTCTATAGACTCCTCGTATGCTCGATCAATGTAAGAGAAGGTGTGATTGGCCATTGGGGATGTACCAGTCTTTTCGTCTACTCAAAGAGTGGAAATGCAAGATACAAGGATTTAATGAAGTTCACAGCTTTATTATTCAAAAAGCAGTTATGCTACCAAAACACACATAGTCCATGCACGTCTTAAAACGTAGGTGGATTGCACTAGTTCATTAATATCACCAAGTATTGGGTATATTAGTGCGGGGGGTAATGTTGGCTGCATATTTTGTATAGGCCAATCACAGCTTAACACGTGGCATGATAAGGGCAACATGGGAAGTTAATTCAAGTCTTTAATCGAAATCAGACACATGACAATTAGCATTGGTAATCATGGATCTGCGTAGTATTGGATCAGCGAAAAAATACAAGATGATGTGGCCTAACAGTTACTCACAAAGTTTAAATTCAAAAATATAAGGGAAGTCTAACTGCAAGAGTGGCGTAGTGGGACTGACTGTGAGAGAGCATGTTTAGCAATCATGGGAGGACATTTTGACGGTTGAAAGCCTACTTCGACGGTTATCATTGGAAAGTATAAATAGTAGAAAAGGCCCTAGAATGAAGGATCCAGACTCAGATAAAAAAATCAGCTTATTTACTTCGTTCTTCCTTCCAGTTTTTACAATTCTTTACATTTCTACACTTTAATTCTTGTACTGCACTTCATTCCTAGGAGTAGTTTCAAATATCTTGTTGCTGTAAACCTTTACGAGGCTGGGTTAGATCATTGTAAGTTTTTCATTTTACTTAATGAAATTCAAATTCTAAAATTATTCTTCACTTGTTGTTATTTACTGAATTCTCCTAAACAAGTCACCAGTAAAAGTCATCTTCATTGAAGCTGAGAGAACTAAAACACAATCGTCTGATAATTGGTTGGCAATTAATATTCTGTAAGGACTGATTGATCCTTACTGGCACGCTTAAAATTACATTATTAACCTTCGAAGGAGAAAAAGCCAACAGTGTGGGATCTATTTTATGTAAGATTTACATTTATTTAAGATGGTTGATAAAATTTTTAATTATTTTTTTTGGGATCTCTAGTATTATTAAAAAAATATTTCATAAAATTGTTTAGAATATGAGATTGATGTACATTGAAGCCATGAATTAATTTGAGTTCTTGATTATTATTATGTATTTTTTCTGTATTTATTAATAATTTTTTGATGTATTAATGGAGAAGTTTTGAAGTGGTTCACGAACAAATTCAAGTGGGACTCACTTATTGGTTAATAATGTAGAGGGGTCTTGACATTTTTATGTTTGCATTTTGGGAGATTATAATTTTATTTGGTTTTCAAATACAAATTATTTTTTAGTTTTTTGTTTTTCATGTTTATTTGATTTTAGTAACTTTTGAAAAAAAAAAACATATTTTAGTGAATTTTAGTCTTGATTAACTTAAAAAAAATAATAATTGAAAAAAAAATCCCAAGATGATAAATATATATATATAAATTTGGTTTATATAAATATAAAAATCTCAAATGAGTATGAATCAAGCATATCACAAGCCAAGTTTAAGTAGTTTATATTTTGTATAGTATAGTATATATATATATATATAAGTACTCAAAAAGAAAGAAAAATTTTATTATTTGGGTATCGTTTGGAAAGTAACATTTTTAGTGATTTTTTTGTCTAAAATATGAGGTGAAAAAATTAATTTTTGTAAATTTTTTTTAACAAAAACATATGTAGAAAGTAAAATAAATAAGAATGAATATTTGACTTTGTAGAGTGACTTTTTTATATGAGTTTAGCTAAAATAGATATTGCCAAACGAGGGCCTTAGTATAGGGCTGTGAGATGGGACTGGAGTCGAGTTTTATTTAGGTCAGGTCAGTGTTCGAAGAGGGCATTAGGCCAGGCTCATAAATAGGCTCATGAAGGCCAACTACGTATTAAGGGCCAGCCCATTATTAAACCTGGGCCATCTAAAGAGAATGGGCTAGGCCCGCCATGGCATCCGAACTCTAACACCGCCTCTAATTGTCTCTGGTTTGGAACTGGCATCGCAGAGAAGTGTGGGAGGAGAGAGAGTAGAGAGAGAGATGGGAGGAGGGCATGGAGGAGATGGACACAGCACAACCTACAAGGGGGTAACCTTGCATCATCCAAAGCGCTGGCACACCCTAACTGGAAAGGGCATGTGTGCTGTCATGTGGTAACAACACCTTCCACTACTCTCTCTCTCTCTCTCTCTTCTCCTTCCTCACACATCGTCATTGACGAAACCCTATATCATATGATTTCCATTTTTTATTCGTATTTGATTTCGATTGTTGGTTCATGCTCGTTATAAACTCAGATCTGCATGTTTTACTTTCTTAGGGCTTGTAAACACAATTGACGATCAAAATTGCTAGTAAATTAACCCGTTAGGGTTTTATGTAGTTTCGATTTGCAATTGATTGAAGATCATTCCTTTTAGGCCTATTTGATGATTTTCTTGTTAACGAATTAGAGTTTCAAGTCTACTGTCAGTTCATAATCATTTTCAGTTTGGCCGAATGAAGAATGGTAAATGAGCTTGCATTGGTTGGATTAAATTTATTTCTAGGGATTCAGATGTTCCCATCCCTAATCAGAAAGATTTGGATGTTTAGATGACTATTTCGCCTTTCATTATTCTCATTTCAGGTGCCATATTTTCAAGATTTCTAAGTCAACTGGAAATTGCTATACTTAGTTACTATGTATATTAATATTACATCTACAAATAATCAAAATTAACAGAAACAAACACTATTTCAATATTTTAAAGAAAATATCCTAAAACTTAACTCTTATCGATTATGTCATTTTTATTGATAATTTATTAATTATTTAAATCTAGGTAAAAAGTAATAAACATTCAAACAAATTAATTAAATAAAGGGACACGCCACACTACTTGTCTTGTATGTCTACCGCCGTGTTCGATACCGCTATGCAGTGTTTTTTAAGGCAAAAAGAGAGCCGAGACGCCTAAGCGCGAGGCCACAAGGCGAGGCGAGGGCTTCATCGAATCGAGGCGACTACAAACGATATTTTTTTAAAAAAAATAGTATAGACAAAAATATAAATATTTTCAAGAACCATCATGCATTTATCATTCCAAATACTAAATAATTGAAATTTTTTCATTAAATAATTCAAAATTTTCAGCAAAATAATTAAAAAAATTCGGCAAAATTAAATGAAATTTTTTCATTAAATAATTGAAATTTTTCAGCAAAATAATTAAAAAATTTCAGCAAAATTAATTGAAATTTTTTCATTAAATAATTGAAATTTTTCAGTTAAATAATTGAAATTTTTTCAGTAAATAATTGAAATTTTTTAGCAAAATTAATTGAAATTTTTTCAGCAAAATAATTATATAATTAACACAGAAAAATAATTGTAAAATAACACAAAAAAAATAATTAAAAAAAGAAAGAAGACAAGGAGAGAAAAAAATTAACAGAGTAGAGTTAACAAAATAATTAACAGAACCAGGAGAGAGAGAGAGAGAGAGAGAGAGAAAGGAAGGAAGAATAAAGTATAATTTTTCAAAGCAACAGAGTAAAAAAAAAATTAAAAAAAAAAAGGGGGTCTGCCTACAGAGTATAATTTTTCAAATCAGAGTCGAAAAAAAAAGATGAAGAAAGGAAGAAGCGACGAAAGAAGAAAAGAAGACGAAGACGCCTCAGTAGCAGGAGAAGAAAGGAAGAAGAAGAAGAAGAAAGGAAGGTACTCACCTTTGATGTCCGAAGAAGGAAGAAGCAGCCGTAGGTAGTCAGTCAGGTCGTTCGAAGCAAATGTCGACTGAGAGGAAGTTGACTTAGGGTTTCGACTTCATATTTGGTAGAAAGCAATTATAAAGTGCATCGTATGTCCACAAATTGCATAAAAGTCATCCAAATAAAGGGCCCAGATCTTTCGAACTGAAATCAGACCGAAATTGGTGAAGCGTCGCTTTGAATCGCCTCTCGCTTCATCGCCTAAGCCTCGCCTCATGCGCTTTGACTTCGCCTCGCCTTAGTGAGTATGAAGTGCTACATCGTCGCCTCGCCTCGCTTAGCGCTTAGGCGAGCGTTTAGTCACGCCTCTGATAACACTGCCGCTACCGAACCTATTTTAGAGTGTCGTTGCTTCATAGTTGGAAAGGTTTCACACACACACACACACACACAAAAAAAAAATCATTTTCTTGTTCTTTTTTAAGGTATCAGTTACCAAGATTAATAGAACTTGAGGCACATTGAGAAAATGCATATCTTTTGGAGGATGGTGAACAGAAGAAGGCATGCTTGACTGGAAACTGTGCCAATTGGATTTATTATTATTATTTATCAAGGGTTGTTTTGTATCTTAACTTTGTTTTATATTTCTATATTCTTATATTTATTTGGTATAAATACCATGAAGTTGTCATAGTGACATATTCTTCCTCATTGCACTTATAAATTGATCAATTTATTTATTGTATACATTGGCTTTGCACTTATAAATTGATAATTTTATTAATCATATGCATTGACTTCATCTGACACAGTACACAGTATCATATTTCGTGTCATAATTTTTGTAATTCATAATTCAAATTTAATGGCATTGGACTGTTGCATATTAATATTATTGTGTGACTTGCTTCATTCTCCACATCAGCTGTGTGTTCTTAGACAAACATATTTATCAGGAATACTTTTGAAATGCTGTCAGATTACAATTGTTTTTGATTTTGGTAAAGGCAGGCACTACATCATTGTATGATACTAAGTTGACATCTTGATCATTTGGTAGTAATTCGTATGTATGAACATTAAAGGGGATGGTGTTTTACGTGGACAAGAATTCCAATGTAATAATAAAACCTTTCTGTGAGGAATATGAATGCCTTACCTTTTGTTAGATGTTCACACTGTGATTGGATAGTAATGTTGTGCTGTACTCGTGTGTTTTTTTGTCCTTCCTTTTCTTTTGTAAGAACGTTGAATTATATTATTGCTATTTACATAATTACCCGGTGTGAGATATCACATTGTTCAAGGAACCCTAGATGCTGTCGGAGTACAGGATCGTCAACAAGGGCGTGCTAGTGCGTTGTAGGTTCTTATCCAAGACTATAATTTCATGTTGTCTATGATTTTATGTCTTGCATACGTTCAAACCATTGCACAACTCAATGCGACTATTTTCAATGCCCAGAACATGGATCCATCATCATCTTAATGTTAGATTCACATGGTTGTTAAAGTGGGATCGGTAAGAGGGTCTCATGGATTGGATTGTGGAATCTGATCTGGGATAGTAAGATTCTAATTTCCATAAAAATATTAAGCTGAAAATCACCAATCCAATGATCCTACTTGCAATTTTGGAGTCCTTTGACTTTGTAAGTTTTTTCAGATGATTAAGTTCTAGTCTGCCGACTCTGTTTTGTGAGTTATATGGGAAAAAACATTAGTTATGTACGTGTTTTTATTTTTATTTTTAAATTGTCGTTGCACAAATCTTGAAGTTTGGCATGTTAATATTAAGTAGTGGTTTTCAAATCTTAAATGTAAAACTATATGCAGATGCTCCCTGTTATTTATAGTCAGCAATCAAGAAGATGTATGAAATGCACTTTTAATAGAGAAAGCCTTTTTGCCCTACTAGATATTGCTGCTTTTAATTTCATGAGGTTAGGTGTGATATCTCTAGAAGTGATTTTGGGGCTCTAGAATAGTGGTTATTGAAATGAATTGGCCATATCTTGTTGAAGGCAGTACTGGTCTCTTTTGGGGTTAGCACAAGGAGAACTTTAGACTGTGTTTGGTACAACTTTCTAATTATAATTCCACCTCTTCACGTGAACAAAGTGTTTGGATGGGGTTTTCAAAAATTAATTCCACCACACATTTCAAAATACATTTCTATTTCACGTTTGGTGGAGCTCATTCCAAAACAAACTTCCAATGCAAAACTCTCACCTTTTCATACAGTTTTTGAATTTTTTGAGTCTACAGGACATCCCCCCGGATGTCCAGCCGGTTGAGCACTACAGTGGTTTTTTTTTGTTTTTTTGGTAACTCTTTCATACATACATACATGATTGTAGACTAATTTTAATTTACTATTGCAAGCGAATAAATTTTTTTGAATAAAGTTGAATTGTGTGTGGTAAACTGTGTAGATGCTAACAAAATAATATTCTAATTTTTGTTTGACTCCCACATAGATAATACCTAATAAATTTTTTAGCCATTTATTTGAAAATAACAATACAATAAATAGCAAATAATTTGTGACAGTAATTATTAAAAACATAAAAATATTTTAATTGAAAAATATTTTAAAAAAATTCAAACCAAATATAAAATCAAAATTATTTTAAATCAGTAATTGAATATTTATTTTGAGAAAAAAAATTATTGCCTCTGTAATATTTTCAATTAAAAAAATTGATTAATGTTATTTTCTGTTAATAATTAATTGTTTTAATTGAATTTTAAAAGGAGTTTGTTTATCGATCAAAATTTTTAATAGAGTTTTGAGTAATGTTTTTGGTTATGAGTTATAACAATTTGAATTAAGTTTTGAAAATTCTTTTCAAAACTCATAACCAAACAAATTTTCTTATTTTACATGTCACATCAAACATTAAAAATTCAATTCAACACTCAAATCAAAACTCAATTCAAAACTCTTTTCAAAACTCATAACCAAACAAATTTTCTACACTCAAATCATAATTCCAAAACTCACAAACTCAAAATACAACTCTATTCTCAAATCATATTTAGAAACTCTACCAAACACTACCTTAGTTTTGTCAATGAGGTGTTCTCTGGGAAGTATAAGATGTACATAGTCTTACCCTTATTTTTGGAGAGGTTGTTTCCATGACTCAAAACTACGCCACCAGAGATGCTAACGGCAAAGCCTTACCACTGGGTCAAAGCTACCCTTCAAAATTTTTAAAACTGAAATCCTTGGGTGATGCATGTCGCTCATTGGATTGAAGTCATGTGTTACCCAGAAAATCACTGATGTTCTGTGTAAGATACTCGTATGATGTTTTCTGTATTTGTTCACTTCACAGTATATCTTTGATCTTGAAAATGGGAAAACTCTTACATCAGCTTGTAAAGAATATATAAATGTCATCTAGTTAATTTCCAAATAGAGGAGATAAAAATGAAATGGAGGCAAGAACATGCCTTCTTTGAGTGGAGTTTACAAAGGTGAGAACTTAAAGGTTGCGTTCTTTATACCTAATTATTTGACAAATTTAATATTTTTTGTACTGTCTTGCTACACACATGCACAAACCACATTGCATTCGAGTAAGTTGCTGAATGTTGTTGTGTTGCTTTGATGTTTTAGGTTTTGGGTTCTATATAGGGCTAAGCAAGATGGTCCTGTAGTCTTGGTGAGTTTTTGATTTCTTATTGCGCTTCATCTCAGTTGACGTCTTTCGTTTCTTTTTCTAATATGTTTTGTATTGTTTTGATTTACTTTTTTTTTCCTCTCACATTTGATGAATATGTCATTTAGGGCTGGCGACATCCGTGGGAAGGCCATGGAGATCATGGGCATGGACATGAGGTAATTTCTTGGCAACAACTAGCTAATAGATGGTTATGGTGAACGACTTCTTTTTCTTTTCTTTCTCTTCTTTTATTTTAGAGTTGATTGTGTACATCTTACCTTCCCCAAACTCGCAACGGTGGGAGTATCATGCATTGGGCTGTTTTTTGTATTGTGGAAAATGTTAAGTGAACGTAGAAAACATATGAAACATAAGAGACTGAACAATAAGGTAATATTGCTTTCATTCACTTTTATACATGAACCAAATTGGTTTTCATTTATGCACTCTCCTGTTATAAAGCAATTTGCTTCAATCTTTTTTGTTAACTTCAATATGTCATACATAAATAAGCATTTTGAATCAAGGAAATCATTGTGATTATATATATATATATATATATTGTATTATAGATTTATAGATAGTTTAGGTGTTTCCCTGAAAGAAATGAAGCATCCAAAATTCCTTTCAGGAAATTGTCTATTAAAATGCTCCGACTACTACACTTATTTGTTGTTTGGAAATAGCGACCAAAATAATCCCTTTTTTTTTCCTAGTATGGGTCTATTGAGTAGTTAAATTCAAAATTTCTCCTCTCAAGTCTACAGGCATACCTTGATTATCTTTTTTCAAATGAATTGTCACATTGAAGGGATAGTTGTTAGTCATACAACCACTTTTAGCAACCTGCAATATTATTACAAAGCACCAAAAACAAAAAATATGCAATGCAGGTCGTTTGTCTAATTAGATATCCAGTGCACACGCAATACTTGTAGTTCTAAAAAAAAAAATGTCGCTGCCATTTTAATATTTTGAAAACTATTTGCTATGTTCTTTCCTTCTGAATTTTATAATTAGGTGTGAAGTTAAAATTTCACCTCTCTCTCTCTAAATTGTACCATGTTGCTTTCAGGAATCCCATTGAAGACCTTTCTGGGATAAGCATAAAGCCCCTCTGCTAGTAAAGATCATTCTAGAATGTCTTTGTTGACTTGTGTTCAATAATGTGATTGTGGAAAGAGAGATTAAACAAGATGTCCAGACCCTTGTTGACTTGCTTGTTTTGTGTAAGCTTTATGTTTTTCTATTCAATGCTTCATTTAGTTAGTTGGTTGCCTGCTATATACTCTCATGTTATCTATTTTTATGAAAACCATGCTGTGGAAAAGAGGGTTTTGATAAAATGGTGATTAGTCCCCCACACCCTCTGGTGGGAACCATCGGAATTCTTTGAGGATGCTTATTTGACTATTATGGTAATGGTGTTTGACTGGAAAATGTCACACAATTAGATTCTTTTATGTAGAAATCTCTGGGAAAATGATGTGATAGTGGCGTTTAAGAAGTGATGGGCTATATTAAAAAAATTGAAGAAAGAATATTTTTATATTACACATTTAGATTATTAATTTTTAAATCATCATTAAGTTCTTTGAGAATCAGGCAAAACATCAAAATATATTATCCATAAGGTAGAAGTTTGACAGATTTTGCCAGTTTGTGTGCTGGCTCGACTAGAGCCCTATCCACCTTAGTTACAGATAAAAACTGAAAAGACTTACTTAAAGCTAGTACATCCTGGACAACCAAATCAACCTCCCACCCCGGGTTGTTTTTTCTCTCAAAACTATCTACCAAAATCTGGCAATCCGTAAATATGGAGAGGCACTGAATCTTTATCTTGGCAGCCCATTTATTGCCTCCAAAAACGTTCTAGCTTCTTCCAAAAGAGGAGAGGGCAACTGGAGAGATAGCACTTGTTGTGACACCTGCACTTGAGCTTCATCAAAACAGAAAAGATGGGCTTAAAGTTATAAGGTTCAGTGTATAATTTCTGAGAATAAATGTGAGTGATTATAAATTAAAAAATATTTTCAGGTTTTTTTTTAACTTGTTTACATTAGAACTTTGGTATATATAATGAAAATTATAGCCGTTATATTCATTTGAATTTATAGCCGTTGTAGTCATTTGAATTTATAATCGTTTATAACCGTTGTACTTTCATCATTACCAATTTGAATATCTTCTACTCTATCATTATTAATTTGAATATCTTCCACTTGAACCTTTTGAACCTTTTGACCTTTTGAACCTTTATAGCCATTGTACTTCCATCATTACTAATTTGAATATCTTCCACTTGAACTTGCTGAACCTTTTGGCCTGCTGTTGTGTTAGACTGTTTGAACTTTTGTTTTGGGCTGTTTGAACTCCTGATTTAATCAAATATTAAATACATTCTAATAACATTTAGGATAAAGGTTTAGGTGAGAAATAATGGGACAAAATAAATTTTGATTTTATTTTTCTCTTTCAAATAAATCATCAAAATAAATTTTGATTAAAATATAATTAAATAAATCATCAAAATAAATTTTGGATTCTATTTTTCTCTTTCAAATAAATTAAAACATAATTAAATAAATCATCAAAATAAATAAGTCTAACAATCTCTCCATTTTTGATGATGTCACACAATAATGTTTTAATTTGATTTGGGAGTAAGAAAGGTTCTCCCTCAAGTCATGCTCCCTGAATTCATCTCTAAATACATAGGTTAGCACATGTGTAATAAATAAGCTTTAATCAACAACATGATATAAGATTAAGAGATCAAACTATAAATACATAACATCAGATTAGTTTGAAAATAATACCATAATACATAACATCATATAATTTCCTCCCCCCTCGGTGACATTATCAAAAGGAAATCATGGGTCAGAATCTGGAGGAGGAGGAGGAAAATGATAGGAATAAATGGCATCAAAAAATAAATAATCAAAACATATATATATATATACATATATGCATACACATACAACTCTCCTGCATCTCTCTTTTTCCTTCAATAAACGCGTTTGACACGCGGCCTCACTTTTGCGTCATTGGCCGACAAAAGCAGCTCTCCTCGATTGCCACTCACCTCGGCTAACTCTCTCTCCTTGGCTATCTCTTTCTCTCTCTTTGTCTTCTTCTCTTCAGCCTTCTTCTTAATCACACCCATCTACTTTTTTTTCTTCTTCACCTCACTCTCTTCTATCTCTTCTTCATCACTCTCTTCGATTTTCTTTACTACTCTCTTTTGTTGCTTCGCAACTCATTTCTTTTGCACCTCTCACCTCTAAACCATGGCTTCCTCATCCCGTCCTCTCACTCTATTTCCGGACCTAAACGATCCCATAAGCTTTGCTGGGCCGAGTGCCCCTACTCCTACTCTTCCTATCATTCCTCTTCCTAACCTTCCTATGATGTCGATTGAGCAAATCATGGCAGCTCAATCGACATAGAAGCCAATCATTTCATACTGACGTCCTGTATGGAGACGGTGACGGCAGTCACAAAATTGGCTCACCGATTGCAGAACAGGACGAGTGAGCTCCATCAGGTCAATGCCCAACTCTCTCTGCTCCAGCGCATGTACAAGGATGCGCGAGCAGAAATAGGCACACTGAAAGCCGAAAATAAAGAGTTTAAACGGAAGACCACTTCCATGGCTCGATTTGGAGCAACGTCGTTCTTGGCCTTTGATAGTCAACAGGGAGTCGTCGCTCTCGACGAAAGCACGGGGGCAAGGGTGTCAAGGGTCGCCCAAGGTGATAAAAAGAAGAAGAAAACGATGGAAGAGGCGAGTAAGTAAGATCAGCATATGGCCGGAAAAAAATAAAGCGTTTTTTTTGTTTTTTTTTTAATGTTTATGTTGATCGGCGTGTGGCCGTAAAAAAATGAAGAGTGTTTTTTTTTTTTATGTAAATATTTATATTTTGATTTGTTGTTGTGTTTATGTTCAAGTACTGAAAAATAAAATTAAAAAGCAGAGAAAAAAACATAAGAAAATTAAGCCCAAACAAAAAAAATAATAATGAGAGACCAAATTGTTAATGAGTATACGAGAAGCATTTGAGCATGATCTAATTCTCAATTTCTTAGCAAGAGCATACCAATTTCAAGACTATAATAGACATAACAGTGCATAGATCAAACAAGGTTGCCAAGCAAGAGCATAAATATGGAACTAAAGTTCAAGTCACTCTTCCTTGAGAAAAACGATCTTCCTCTTACATTATCAACAATTAATCAGCTCAAATGTCATGTTGTAAGAATTAAGATACCAAAGGCATAGAAATACTAAAATAATCAGAGATACTAAAACAATCAAGTCTCTTTTTCTCTCCCGATGACATTTTCAACAAAATCAAGCACAAGGATGGAGTATGGTACATCATGTAGGATGAAAGAATATAAATCTCATTATTGCACAAATAATCATCCATATTAAGGTAGCTCTATGATACCAAAAAAAAAAAATGATAGCATATAATGATCATACAATTGAAACTCATAGCATTTGACAATAATGTGCAAAAAAAATAGTAACATGTGAAGGTGCAAGCCCATAAGTTTAATATCAAAAATAGAATAGAAACTGAGGGGATTTTAAAAAATAATAAAGTTTAAATTCTCCCCTTTGTTTCATTTGGAAAAATCAATAGGAGACATGATAAGCGAAAGCTCATAACTGAAATGTTTTCCTCAAGAATATCAAATAGGATGCCAAATGTTACCAATAAGGAAGCCAAAATGATACCAACATGTAATTTGCCAAGGATACCAATATGCAATCTAGAAGATTTAACAATCATAGTTCAAGCATTATGTAGAATACCAAATATTGCTCATAATAGGTTAAATTCAATATAATCTCATGGCGCTAATGTAACTCCAAAAAAATGAAGCATGTTCAAGGTATAGCAATCCATATGCCAAGAAAAATCATGAATTTCAATATATAGCACACATTTAAGCATATGCATGATTCTTAGGCAAGAGCATCATCAAAGAGTATACATTGCAAATTATATAAATCATAATCAATCTTTTCATATCAAAGTAATAATAGTATTAGCTCAAATGATATAAGATAGAATTTTTACCTCAAAAGCTTAAGAGAGTATATGAGGCATACGTTAGGTTCAAGAGATGGAAGCTTTTCAATCTTCAATTTTCTTTTATGAGGAGTTCATCTCAAAAGGGTTTAACAAGTATGTTAGCAAAATGATTTCTCCCCCTAAGTTAGTGTTACCCTTTTTCTAATATGATTTGTGTAAATATAGCATTCATAGAACAATCACTATTACTTAATAAAAATACAGCACAAATCACTTCTTATCACAAACTCAAAAAGTGAAAAATAATTCAATGATCAAACAAGAGTTTGGAATGCTATTTTTTAGAATTTTCAAATTGTAGCACATAGCATAATATACATAAGAAAATAGTGTTATGCTCTTTGTTTTATTGAAAAATGATGCAACAATCTCATTTAATCACATAACATTATCAAAAGGCATTTTCATCAATTCAATCCACATGCTCAAGTGTGATAAAACGTTTTACTCAATATGGAACACAACATGAATGTTATAAACAATTAATTCAACAATTTATCAATCACAAGCATTTCATGAGATGTATGCCAATATAATCCATATTCAAAAGATATTCAATAAGATAGATGCAATGTCTCTACAAACGTATGATATTTCTTTTCATTTAGACATTGTTGATGGATCATAATCAAGGAATTTCACAACTCATTCAAATATTCCAATGTAACATATATAAGTATGAAATTTTCATATTGAGCATATTCTTGATATCACAAATGTAGAATTCAAAATATAGATAGTATATATCTCAAAAACATGCTATGACATCAAAATTGATTCTACAAAGATATGACTCAAAAAGGAATTAACATATTAGTATGAAGTCATATGTAAGATGTGAAAAGTATGCTCACAAAAAATATTTATCACTTCTTATCTCTTTTTCATAGTAATGGATGACATGATATACAATGTTAATGAATACATGAATCATTCATATTCTAATAGGCATTCATCAAAATAATATAATTCTCATTTTTGAGTTCAATGAATGTTTGAAAGAAACTAGCAGAACATGACTTAGCAAACTTAGTACAATTAGGCTATATGGAAGCAATGATTAGATACAACCTATTGTACACAAATCACACCTTAAAAAATATAGAACTTTAAGCTTAAAAGTGTGTTAGGAGTTATGCCTTCATTTACCTCTTTAGAATATTTACCCATATGTTACCTCTATTGTTTATCTTGGTGATTTTTATTTCATCATTCTTCTTCTTGTAAGAGCTGATTTTGCTATTTAGATTGAATACTCTTGTTGTGCATTTCCTCTCGAAGTCCTTGGTGTTCTTTGAGATTTCACCTACAAAATATCTTGATTTC